CACACACACACACACATATATATATATATATATATATATATAATAGTTCAGTTGTCAAAATGCAGAATATTTATGAACTTTTCATAAATGTTTACTTAATGCCAATGTTCCAAACTGAATTCACATGTATTTCAAATTTTTCAAGTCAATCATAAGTTTCTTTGGGTGGAGAAATATCTTTCTAACTTTAGTATGTGTATTAAAAGTTTTTATATTTTTTTCTACTAGCTGGAGTATCCATCCCCTGGATGGAAGTTTTGCAAATTCATGATTAATGAAAGGTTATCTTAGTACGTGAAAAGTTGCTTCCCTTATATGCAATTGTAACAAACATAAAAACTGCAAAACACAAATGTGAAACCACAAAGTTGAATGTATCTTCCGCATGGACCCAACAAACCTTCATGCCAGATTTGGTGAAGATCCATTCACAGGATGTGAGGTAGTGGTAAGAAATGCAAAAACAGGCATAAAAATTGCAAATCTGTATGCATCTCCCCATGAACCCAATGAACATCAATACCAAATTTCATAAAGATCCATCTACAGGATGCAAAGTAGTGGTAAAAAATGCAAGTAAAAACTGCAAAATGCAAAACTAAATATTTGTATGTACCCCCTGCATGGACTTAATGAACTGTTAGTGAAATGTTGATGAAGATTCATCCACACCCTGCAAAGTAGTCATATGGACATACAATAGATAGTGTTATTATATTTATATAGATTTACCAGTTTCATGGTCAACAGCAACAGTTAATCCAACACCTGATGACATACAACAGACAGTACTATTATATTTATATAGATTTACCAGTTTCATGGCAGTAGTAACAGCAACAGTTAATCCAACACCCGATGACATACAACAGACAGTACTATTATATTTATATAGATTTACCAGTTTCATGGTCAGTAGTAACAGCAGCAGTTAATCCAACACCTGATGATCCTCTGCCTGTGGTTGGAATGGCTCTTGGGGCTGTGAGCAGAACATAACGTAGAAGTTGTGACTTAGCCACAGAGGGGTCTCCAATTAATAAAACATTGATGTCCCTACAAAAACATTTTACATGTTGTTGAACAGTGGTATTTTCAAATAACTTGTACTAAAAAGGAAAAAGAAAGTCAGTTTCACACAGCATAACTAGTACAACTGAAGAGTCCACTTGCGAATTGATAAAGTACATTATAGCAATTCATTTTGTGTTTGGATTAGAAATATGATCAGTTAAGTTATAGCATTTCTATTCCTGACATTAATCAAATAAGAAGAGCAAGTTATTTTATACACAGGAATTTTTAATTCAAATAGATCATTTAAAGTTAAAATATAAACAGTGAACTAAGGAGTTCCCAGCCAATATAATATAATTTAATATAATTCTCCAATATACAATTTAATCTTAAAACTATTAGTTAAAGAACAAAAGTAATTACAAGATTCAGGTAATTAGCATAAAAATTGTTCTTATGTAAATTTGGACATACTGTTTCTACACTGAAAAATTTAAATTCTTAATCTAAGTATACTTTGTATACCTTCAAATGTCATTTATTGAATTCTTAAATTTTAACAACTGCCACAAAATAATCTGAATCATTTCACTTAAGAAATTAGTCATTCAAATATGAGGTTTGGGAGCATTTTCTATTAATCGAGAACTAATGTTAATAATAAACTTAAAATAAGTGCTAAATTAAACCAATAAAACTCACAGCATACCAAAAATAAAAATTCAAATTACTTTAGCAGTTTAATACATATTTTTAAGTATCTCCTGAAACTGAACTTTCCAAAATATTATTCATCAGTCCAAATATTCCTTCAAAATATATTATAAAGAAGTTTAGTTAGCTTTCCTGTTTAGCCAATATTTTGGGTGACTTACAACAAACCTACAATAGCCATAACTAAAAACAAGTTATTATGAAAGGATTAACACAAATGATCACCCAAAAGTAGAGTTCAAATAGTTGTCTAGAGTATAGTTAACTATTCATAAGAGCTCAAGTTTCCGGGTCTTCTGAACTCTCAAAAATAAGAATAATTTTGAAAACCACCTATGACTGCATTAGAAAATCTGTGTTAACATAATAAGAAAAATTACCCTCGAAGGCGGGTTCCGTTTGGCAAAACTTTTTCAACTCCTCCAAGTAGCAAACACAAAATAGCTTTTTTGATATACTCATGTCCATGGATGGAAGGTGCTAAGGAACAAGCTAAAACCTCAAACACATCCTAAAATTAGAGAAAAAAATATCTGTTATATTGTAAAAAAAAGTTTTATCTAGCACTATAAAAGTCCCACTGCTTATTCACTGTGTTTACCAATTAATTTTTCTTTATATGTGTACAGGAAGAAAAGTGAATAAAAAAGATGGCCCTATTCTTTAACAAAGATAAACATTACCATATTAAATAAGAATATAACCATAGAAACCAATACCTAATATAAGAATTGAGTTACTAAAATTATTAACAAAGGCCTTAAAAAAGAATAATATGGAAATAATGACTTTTCAAAAGGATTATCATATGACATTTTTCTGAGTCTATTTTCATGAACAGATTTTTGTCAAAATTTTTAAATAAACTGTCAAATATTCTTTGTCTAACAACAACAAAAAAATAAATAAATAAATAAAAGGTAAAATACTTTATTTCATTATGGATATTGATTGTACATGGTAGCATCAGATAACCATCAAAATGCTAATGTTAATTCACTGTTGTGAAGTAATCAGTAAACTGTAAAGCAGGCATGTGTAACTTCCTCCAGGACATGGACCGGATAGCAACTTTTAAATGTACTTGCAAGCCACACCACACAAAGCAAAATTGTAGCTAAAAATCCATATTTTAATATTATATAAGTTTTAAGTTCTTAAATTTATAAGACAATATTAAATCCTGAATTTCCCCTAGTGTGAGAAATTGACATTTTTAGCCACAGCATAGACTCATAGAATGATTGAGTTTTTTTATCATTTTTTTCATGTACAAACTTTTAGCTCATAGCTCCGTCACCTCTTGACCAATATGAGATCTTATTGCAGTTTTGGACTCAGTAGGTTTTCCCTTTTTATTGATGTATTTGACCATGCCTAAGGTCTCATAGTTTAATTTCTTCTAATCCTGCCTAAAAGAATTTCAAGTTGAGGGTAGGCTGGTAGAAATCCTCATGAGTGATAAAATTGAATTGGGTATATGCACACCTCACAAAAACGTTGCTTATAAAACAAAAAAAAAGGTCTCATAGATTAATTTACTCTAATCCTGCCTAAAAGAATTTCAATTGCTGCAGCTATTGAGGATTCCCTCATTTCTCTAGGCATTCCTTCTTCTCTAATTTATTCACCACTCCTCCAATAAGTATGAAATTTAATGTAAATTACTCATCATCACTCAAACAAAGCATAATTTTTCCTAGCCTTCAATCTTGTTTGATTACAGAGCCATCGAATAAAAAATCAGACCCATCTTACTACACCCACCTGTCACATCCTCTCTTTCAGGATTTGTTAATAGTTCTCTCTTACATTTAACCCTATTGCTACAGGTCATGGGTTAAAGGCCATGTCATATCACATTTGTTGACTCATTCAAAATTTTATTGAACTACTATTTTATGAATGTATGTCAATAACTTTGGTATCAAATTGTAGATTATAATTCATATTTTAGTATGATTCATTAGTTCATTTTTTAATTTAAAATTAAATTTAAAAAAAATAAATTTTAAATATTGATTTCTGTGTGTCACGTGGTACGTTGAAAGCAACATTAGTTCAAATTACATGTTTCTGATGTCCAAATACAAAGTCTATAGTTTCTTACAAATTAGGAACTCAAATTTACTGATACTGACAAGCTAGAACCTAAAATAAGAACCTCACATCTTTTCTATTTGCTGAGATATTGCTACATTTACTGAATCAAACACAATGGCCCTGCCCACTTCTTTCCATTTTTGGAAATGCTTACATACACCTACTTCTGTCTATGATGTGTAAATAACCAATCAAAAACTCAGAATGTCCCCCCACATGGTTCTCTGAGCCTTTGCAAAGTATTTATGCAGGAAACCCTTTTTTTTTCAGACAGATTTCAAGCAATAAGATAAGAGTTTAGTATGCCCGAAATTTCATATTTTTTAGACATAAATACAGCTTAGTTACTAAGCTGGATGAATTCTATGGTATCGATATAGTAACTTATGTTTTTTGTTATTTCAAAATTTATATATAAAACCTAAAAAAATTATTTCATTTCACATCCTCCATGTGCGAAACTTTATAAGGCTTAGCAACCTATGGCAAGCATCAAATGGATACAAAGTTTATAGTTAGAAGAGATAATTGCTATACTTCTTTATTTACTATTATAAGTTTAAGAACTTATTTCTAAATAGTAATAGCATATATACATATACAACGTATTATAACAGAAATGTGACTGTATCTTACAAACTGCTAGTCCACTAAAATACAACCAAGAAAGGTCAGTTTGTAAAGGCCAGTTTTATATTCTTAGATATGGTAACATGAGTGCACATGTGCCAGTCATTGCAACTTCTGTAAAGTTAGCCAGGCATGACTGAAAGGTTAGTATAATAAATATATAACGTTATGAGATTTAAGCTATTTAGACTAAACATTTTTGTTTGAGTTATAATCTGTTGTCATTCTAAAATGAAAAAAGCATTATTTATATTTATTTCCTCATTTTTTACGGTGGTTACAAAGTCAGTCAAATCGACCCAACCTGTACAGATTCAGTAGTGAAAATAACAAATAAAATATAAAGTTTTTTCTAAAAGACATTTGATAATTATCTGGAGGTTATAAAGATTTCATACGTGAAATTTTACAATGTTCTGATTACTTTGCATGTTGGATGGTCAACATTCGAAAAGAAATAAGGCACGATGAAAATATTACTTAAGAAATCTTAAAACTTAATAAAAAATCTAATATTCTGCATATGAAAGCCTTGTAATTTTACTAATAATCTGCAAAATTTTGTAAAGATATACGTACAATATCAAAAATCATAGTATAATTACTCTAATGGATACTTTTGTGTTTACAAGCTGGGTGGATACCACTCAACCCATAATGATAGGGGGTTAATATTACATTATTTATACCCAACAGAAAGCCATGGTTTTCATCTATCAAATGACATATTATATTAAATTGTTTTTTGTACAGAGAATTGTCAGTTTCTCTTTTAATACCAGCTTCATTCCCACGGGAAAGATATCGACTAGCTTGGAGGAATTTATAATGGTCTTGTCACATAGTTAGAAAGACAGAAAAATTTTTATCATTATGGGAAATTATCTTCGTTTTGCATGTTACTATTCTATGTTTATTGGTGCATTATTTAATTAAATAAAAATTATTTAATGCACAACTACCATTGGTATAAAAAAGTAGGGTTAAGTGTCATCAACAGTGGTCAAGAAAAAATGAGATGGCCAGGAAAAGTACTTTATTCCTTGTTTTTCATGTGTATTCATATTTATTATCATAAAAGTAAGTAAAATGTAAAAATAGTAAAATCTTTAGGTTAGTTAAGGTTAGATTAGGTCAAATAAATAATAATATAATAAAAAATTTGAGTTTGTGGCCAGCTCGCAGTCCAGATTCAATTATATTTTAAAAACTCATCACGGGCTAGATAAAACCAACTCGTGGGCCGTATGTAGCACATGCATGCTGTAGAGAGTAACTTTGTGAGAACCAAAGCCATCTAGTAAGAACCAAATAGACTTATTAAAGCACTATGTAACAAGGTGACAATATTAACCAATTTCACCATATGTCTAGTGTAAGTTGCTTTTAGTGGGATCTTTTGCTCAAGGCTCTAGTTCAATAATATCAAAAGCACACAAGTTCTACCTGATGTATGTTTCACACATAAAAAATGGTAAATAGTAGAAAGTTAATAATGAAAGTAAACAGAACCTTACCTCTCTCTCCTTGCTTAACTTTTTACAATTTGATACATCATCACCAGAGAGATGGGGTGAAACTTCCTTAGTCATAGTTCTGATATTGTTTGCAATCAACACAGTCCTATGTGGAACAAAGTATTTAAGCTGGAAATGAGCTTATAATACAGTTTTACAATTAAATTACTTAAAGTAAAAGATAAAGGCAACTACATTTGTCAAGATTAATGCTTCAGTGTTAATTAGGTGAATAAATGGTGATGTTAAACTATTTTAAATGAAATACTGCAGTACATTTTATAAATCAATATTTTTTTATATATAAATTTAATTAAATTGATATTTTAGGAAATTTTTTATATGAATAAAACAATAATAAATAGCACATATATACTGATAATTTTTAAGTTTCATTTCAAACATTTTATGGTTAGTTTGACTATTGATATAAAAAAAGCCTAAATCATTTTAATCACCTTTACATTTTTCCCTTATTACTTATTACTAAAAAAATATAACTTACAGTTCATGTAATGCACTGATGTATTGAAAAGTTCCCTATGGACCAATCCTGTCTTATATCTGATAAGATTTCAGACTCTGATCATCAGATTTGATAGATATATTCTGCATATGTGAATAGTAACCATGTAACATTCCTTCTCAAACCTAAAAATGTTATGACTTTGCCCAGGTAGCACTTAAAAAGTTAATTTTGTGCCCTAATGATATGAGCTAAGTACTTCCTTGATCAATGAAACATAAAACATTATTAGGTTAATCAATCATTCTTTCCAGCAAATTTTACCTTCTCTGATTCATTTCAGACTCAAGGTGAACAAGTTATTTAAAGAAAACTTTTTGTAAGCTAGAAGTAAGCGTGGAATTCTTAAACAGTGATGAAACATTCTTCACGTGTATTTTTGATCATCTTTTGGTTATCTGGGGAAATGTTGCATTTCGTGCACTACCCCAAAGCTGTTTCCATGAGAAAATCTATAATTTAAAACTTGGCATAATATTATACAAAATACAATAAGAATAACTGTACACTTGCACAAATATTTAACATAAACAACACCCTCTCTTTACAAAATCCTAGTAATACAAGTGACTGTAATAAAAAAAAACAATGTTTAGCTATACATTTGATTTTGAAGTCATGTGTACAGAACCTTCCTACTGAATCTCTCACATTTATTGAAGAAGGCAGGAGCAGTCCATGTGAAATTATTCAAATATCATTTCAAATTTTCTCATGCATAGCCCACTTATAACAAAGACTGAATACATGTTGAAAAATGTTGAGATTGAAACTTTGAAAATACAAAGTTCAATTTCAAATGTTTAATTTGAATTTTCCATATGTTTTAGAAGATGCTACATTACTTAGCACCATTAAAGACTAAATATTTGATTTTGGTAGATGTAATAAAACATTAGAACAAAGTTGCTTAAGTTTTTTTGCTGTTTGTGTGGCCCAAAAAAAAGTCTGACATAAAGCAAAAACTTTGTTGGCAGAAGCAGATACTGAAGTTATGAAATGTTGATTACATACATATACACCACATTAACTAAGAATGATATAATTAGTATTAGTGGTCTTCTGAATTGTTTCTTATATGTTTTACAATTAATGTTTAACAAATTTTGACACAGTGTTTGTTTCTGTAACACAAAAAGATATTATTTAGCTACCTGAATGTGCCCGAAGTGTATCCTCCTTGTTTCCATGGCAAACATCTATAAACACCCACAATTTGAACTCTATCCCCAGGTTTGCATGCATCTACTAAGTCACAGTCAGCTATGATGTCCACATTACGAGGTATTTGTCCAGAAGGAGCCTTTTCAGGCATCTCCTGGACTGTGAAAGTTTGATGATCTTTATAAGTAGAAAGTCCAAACTCTGTTTCCAGAAGGTTTCCATCTTCATCCTACTCAGATGGACATAAATAAAATTTTTAAAACTTATTTTAACAAGTATGTTAATAGCTCCTTTAACTACAATTCAGAAGATGATCCTTTCTTTCTTCATTGTGAACATGTATTATTTTAATACCACTAATTGTTTTAAGTATGCAAAACTCTGATTTACAAAAAACAGCTACTACCAAAATAAGGTTATAACAGAACTGGGCCATTAGTGTTATCTGCTAATCAATTACTCAACTGCCCCATTAATCAATTAGGACAGTGTTACTCAACTCATGGTACCTACTAGCAAAACAAAGAGTTGGCAACACATTCTGCCAGCCAGTTGCCATCTTGTCAACAGTTCTACAACAACAAACTAGCACACAAGAAAAAAGGATTAGCTCTAGGTGTTATGAGCCACTTGCCTTCCTCTAGTCAGCAGTTTAAAATTAGTTATAGTTGCAGAATAACCTTAGTAGCTTTGCCATAGGAAAGGCAGGGTGAACAAGTTTGGTGGCAATATTTCAATTACTTGTACATTTGAAAGTAGTAATAATCTGAAACCCTAATTTCAATTAGTTGATTATTTTTGTGACAACTGATATAACTGGAATTTTGATTAATCAGTTAGTTTATGTGACATTAATCTAAGTAATTACTGTTCAAAGGTTATTTATTATATTTATTAAATAAACTAGCTCTATGTTATACTACTGAATATTGTGCAAGATACAATTTTTAGCTATATTTTTTAACTTACTAATAATTAAGAAAAACTAAAAACATATTACGCAACCAAGCCATCAAAATTGGGTATTTAATAATAATTAATACCAAGATGAAAGGCAAATTTTGTAAAGTCTAGCTTCACTTTTCCAGTTAAAATATATAAAAAAAAAAAGACTGGTTTTGTCAAATAACACTGATCTCAAAATGTATTAATTCATGGTATGGCACCTTCAAATAAATGTTATGTTATGATCTAGATAGGTAAGTGAATAATATTTTAATTGACTAGATTATCTTTATATCCAAAAGAAGGCAAAAAATGTTTATAATGCAGCACACTGTTTGTTGTTGAGCATAGATCTACAAAATAGGCTATCTGTGCTCTGCCTATTATGAGTATTAAAACCCAGTTTGTAGCATAAGCTCTCAGACTTACTGCTGAGCCATCGGGAGCAGAATAGCAAATATCTTCCACTTTAGGTAATTTTTTTTTTATAACTTAACAGCAAAATGATGAATAACTGCATGATAATTCATCTTTAAGTTCATGATTTATTTCCTTTAGATTTATTTAATGGTTACATGAAAAGTTAGCTTTACAAAGAAATAATTTTTAAACTTTAAGTATTTCATCAGACCATTAAAAGTAAAAAAATTTGGTACTGAATGGCATGGCTTAATACAAAGTAGTTTAACTCCAAGTTATAAAACATCACTAGAAAAATGGAAAATACAGGATCATCCAATGGATAATTACACTTGCAAGACTAAGCAATAAGTAATATAATTAAAGGTTGATCAATATTGACTGTGCTAATACAAAGATGAATAACAGAAAACAATGTTTCATTAATACTTAAAAAAAAACGACTGAAATAACATATATATATATTTCAATATAAATATTCTAAGATCAAAAGTTCTCACTAAATAAAATAAAAAGTACTTTTTTGATCTTGAGTTGATCAAATCAGAATTACAGTGGAGTATAGCCCAAACATATCCTAATTTCAAGTCCACTGCAATCTACCATTAGAAGTTAAAGACTGATACAACTTAATTTTCTGTTTAATCACATTAACTATTTAATATATTCTTATACCTGAGTTGAATCAACACAAACTACTTGTACAATGGTGTAATGCTGAATGTTTCACTAGGTATATTTGTATTAATTTTCCTTTATATACTGTTTCTAACATAAAAGAATTGAACCTTAAATTTTAAGAACTTATGTTTGTTTTTATGGCATGGAAAGTAATAAAGTGATCTCAACATTGTAGATAATAATACATGCAGTGATTTGTTTTTCATGTTATGTTCATGTCAAGAAACACATGTCAAACAAAAATATTTTTTAACAAGTTTGAACAAGATGACAAAATGCAGAGTATTAAATGACATGATCAAGGAAAAATACTTTACAAAAATATAGAACAGTGCCTTAACTAGAAACTAAAGTTTAAGCTTATATTATATGGTAATATTCTCTTTATGTTCAAAATACAATAGACATTTAAACTCTACAAGCTATATTTTTTTCCCTTCATCTATGCCAAATTTAGTTTAGTTCACACCCTCAGTGGAAATGTCTTGGTAGTTCAGAGTTCAACACATTTATTACCATGTCAACACACTTTAGTCTTAGAAAGTAGCCAGGTTTATTTTTTAACTAAGGCCTAGAAGTTCTGATGTGTGTTTAGGCAAAAAAATCATTCCCGATAGCTTTTTGAAGTGAAATTCAAAAAGAATATCTAAAATGTACAAATATCATATGTGTGTGTGTGTGTGTATACTTCCAATGAATGGCAAGTTTACCAATAATGAGGCACTATATACAAATACTGGCTGTTATTATCAATGAAATGATAAACCAGTCAAAATCTAATTGCAATTTCTTTATAGCACAAATGCATTTTTTCTAACATGAAAAATTATGATATTATGTTGCTGTTACAAAAGAGCAAAAATTTTGCAGCAAGAAAAGTTAATTAATTTAATTTACTTTTTAGTTCTTTTTATTTCAGACATCAATGAGCTAGCAAGCAAGTTATCAGAGAAGATTTGCTCATTTAACATTTTCAATTTTATCAAGACTATAACTAAAAAATAAAAACTACTATAACCAGTAACAAAAGTAACTATAGAATAAAACATTCAACTCAAACATACCTTAGTGGGATAAACAGAAGATGAAGGAAATGCATCATAAGATGTTACATCTGTATATCGTCTCTCCATAGTTTTCTTTGTCGCAGGACAGTAGTGTACACTACGGACAACCTTTGGCCGTACAATGGAACCTACATAATAATAATAGTTCATTAACATACTAGGTTTAGATCTAGTCAATAAATAAATGGTTTTACATGATTTACATGGTCATAACATTTAATCACCAAACATGGTATAGTTCAATTCAGCTGGGATGTTGGTTTAGGTTAATTATACAACTACTAAAACAGGATAATATAAAAGCACTGAGTATAAGTGATTCAACTGGGTGTATTCTGTACTTACAATACTGTGGGTATCCAGTATGATTTAATTCTGGTAATAAAATAACCTCTGAGTATTGTTTGTTTGTTTGTTTTCCCA